GATCTCTTTGAAGATCTTTACTTATAACGGTTAGTATTAAGGTTAAAAACACAGAATGTGGTGGTTGGTTATAAGTAGTGGTAATGCTGCAATAACGAAGAAATTTAATTTTTATACATTTATATCAAAAAACTTACATACATCCGAGTATTTATATATTTTAAGGTAGCTTTTATTTTCTTAGTACTAAAACTGTTTATTTTGATAGAATAAAAGGTTTCTTAAATACAAGTTTTAAATGCGTTAGGCAAAAAAAATTGTATTGTAGCATATCTGTAATCAGTAAACTAATCAACCTAATTGATTTACGGAGGAAACATAAAAACGCGATTTGCACGCGTTTCGAGTGCGTTTAAAACAGCGCATAACTTGACCCGCTTGGAGACAAGGAAATTGCTACTTGAACCGGGCAAATCTCTCGATTAGCTTTTAATCAACTAAATTGCGGGATTAATCTACAGCTGCCAGAGCCCTGAGGCAGTGGTATTTTTGATTTATCAAATTTGGAAGCCAGCCCTCGCTGCCTCCTTTTTTATGGGCGGTCTTATCAAGATGTATTAAGCTCTAATCATAGACGTTGATTTACCAGTCCAAAAGCAGACCCTGCTCGCACCGAACCTTATAAATAAGCCATTACCAAGCCCATCGTATATTAGTAATAACAATTGCCATTTATCAACAATTTTGAAATCGAATGTCCCCCCTCTTACCCCCATTTTATTTGTTTGATTTGTGCACCCCGATAAGTTGGAATCGCGGAGATATACTATGTGTTAGTTAAGGTGAGGCCCATGACAAATCTCCAAACTACAAAACTTGAGTGGCCAATTGCTTCCGTATCTGAGCGAATTTTCACATTTTGTCATCGATTCGGGAATTACGAAATTTCTGGTTAACTCTTTGTGATTCAATTATAATGAAACTGATATAACTTTTCATTTGGTTTCTTATAGACATGTTGTCACCCTTCAAATTGATTGCGGCCTCCCGATGATTATGATTGTGATACATTCTAAATTACTAACCCCATTGACGTAGGTTAAGTTCTTCCGGTTTGGACAAGTCATATTATATGGCACCTATAGATAAATTTACCTAGAAAATATTGTTAAATTGATAGTGAAATCATGAGTGTAATAATGAATTATCAGGTAAAAACAATTTTCTATGAGTGTGCTTAGAAAACTTGAGAAGTCTTACTGGCCATTTAGATTTACAATTTTACTTCCTTAATTTACTTTCTTTGTGTTTGTTGATTTATCAGCATTTATAATTAAAATTGTGAGTGTTTAAATAAAATAATAAATATTTTTATTAGGAAATGCATTGGCTTTATTCATTTAACAATGATAAGTTTTTTAATTTGCCGAGCAAGTCTTATAACTTGTAATAAAAAAGTAAGCAAATATGTTAAGTAAAATAAAAATAAATAAAAAACTCAGAGTAGTTGAAAAATATTTGGATTTTGTAAAATAATAAACTAAAATCTGACGCATTACACTTTTATAGATACTCAACGCAGTAAATATACTTATTGTAAGGGTAAGCAAATCAAAATGGATTCTAGTGAACCGATATGAAAATGGGGAAACGATCAAGAGGAAGCGGCTTCTTTCGAATTGTTCAAAGCGTTTTCCCTTCACCTGCAACACCACCACTCCATCGCCAGTCACCTCAGCGTTGCCCAGGTGAACATAACTCACCACTTGATTTATGCAAATAAGCCACGTTTAATTATGACCATTAGCCACTGTTGAGCGGCTACCGTTTTGAGTCAATAGAGCGGTCCAGGGGGCGGCCAAAAAGGGGTGGCAAGTAGCTCCGCCCGGGGCTTTTAGTCGGTTTGCATTTCAATTTCGCTTTGTTGTGCCCCAGGTGGAAAAAGGGGGGATGCTGTATGGTGTGGGTATGGTACAGGTCGGTCTGAGACAATGATGCCTGACTTTAATGAGTTTTATATTGACAGAAGTTATTGATCGAGAGGCGGCTGATATCTGTGACTAATATCGAGTGGAATTTGGGGAATAAAAACATTAAAAATGGATTCTGTCTTAAGAACGATGTAATGACTTCCACATTTGGATGACAATTTACTTTAAATCATTTTTAAGCCGTATAATTCAAAATTAATTAAAAACACAAATTATATATTTCAAAGCAACGGAGCCACTGAAAAAGTATATAAAATTCAAGGAAAATGAAAACTGTTACTATTTCTTAAAATTCACATTCCAAAATACAGTAGTAAATTACTCTATAATAATTTAAGAAAATAATTTAAAAAAAATAATTCTTTTAATGTCCGATCTGTTTTATAAACTAAAAATTTAAAAACATTTTATATTTAAATTTTCTTAACAATATTTTAAATTTGTTTACCAATGATAAATGTAGATTTTTATACTTGCCCCATTTAGTTTTAAGAATAAACTTGTATATATTGACCGCAACTATATGTATCGACATAGCTTATTTTCATGATTTCCACCCTCAAAGAAAATCCTCAACATGCGCTAGGCTTAGGTTGTGCAATAAATCGGTGGTCTTAATTTACAACTAATTGTCATATGACCAACTAGTTATGGCAATCAGGCGGACTTAGTTATATGGCCGCGGGTCCGATACGATATAAGACTATATATATATATTAAATCAGAGGGATTTCCATGGCAGTCTGACCATGGCGATAGAGTCAACTTTGCGCCGTCTAATTGCATGCTAACTGTACTTAAATATCTTTATAATTGACGCCACAGTGGGTGTCGTAAAAAGCACGTACCGCCCTGGTCCGCGTAATACTAGTAGGTCTGTTTGAGAAGGTCTTACGAATGGAGACACCGAACCCCCAATCAGAACCGCACCCACCTCCCCCCCCGATCAGCCCACATCCGAGCCACCCGCAATAAAAGGTATTTATGTTATTTGTCAAGTTTATCGCACCAGTTTGAGTTTGAGAAGGGTGGGCGGCCAGGAATCGCTGGGGCCTAATTAAAGCATGAGCTTTATCGTCTTGTAAAGATCGAAATTATTGCCACCGTTCCTGCGGCTATGCTCATTTTACGACCCCCATTTTCAAACACCAGTAGCCCCCATTTAATCGTCCATATTTCTTTCAATATATAATATGTGTGTATATATACACACCCAGCGAATATATGATAGTCTAACAGATTGCTTGTTGTGTTTCTGCCTTTTGATTTGTTGATATTGATAGCTGCATTTTGTTGGGGTCTCTATAAAATTTATTATGTTTTTGTTGGTCAACTCAAGATATTTTAAAGAAATGATATTGTAAGTCTTCTACATATTGTAATTTATTTAGTTATTTAAAATAAATTAAATAATACCAAATTCATATAATGTAGCATTAAAAGAAAATTTTCTATATTAAGGTTTGTATTTTATTTTGTAAAAAAAATTTTTTTTTTTTTTAAATTTAATAATGGTTAGCTCTTCTCTGTCCTTATAATTTATCTTCTTCGTTTTGACTATTGACTTAAATAATTTATATATATATATATATATATATATATATATATATATATATATAAATTGTTTTAAAATTATTTTGAATTTATTTTATAATGACTAGTTGACTTAAATAAATGAATTTAACAATTTGATATACCTATTTTGAAATCTTGAAAACCCACTCCCATACCTCTCACTCCCCCAACTTATTCAAATTAAGACAGGTAGGCCTCTTAAATGTCTTAAAGCGTTGAAGCCGAGCCGCCTAAAGTGATTGTGATTGCAATGCAATGCGCAAGGCAAACAAAGCCAAACAAAAATCGAGTAAAGCAATACGGAGAGGTCTGTTCGAGAAGCACAAACCGGGCGGGCAAACACAAACATCCGATGGGTTGGACAGAGGATCCATCGGCAGTTCCATCGGCAGCTCCATCGCCATCAAACAGAAGCCAAATGAGCTTGTCGTGGAGACTAAGCCATAGCGGCCGGAAACTGACGGTTTCTTCAATCAAATGGCTAGCAAGATTGGTCAGGAGGAGACCGCTTGAGCTGCAACTGTAGGGCTGGAGGGCTGATCAAAAGGTCCGCTCGAGCGGATCTCTGTGGGTCAAGCAAATGCTTCGACTTAATCCAAAGTGGCTACTGAGTTGCCTCCCAGGCAACTGGTAAATCCCACCTACCTCGTCCGAAGTGCATTCTGCATTCTGGGCAAACACTTCTGGCTACCGATCGCCACCAACTGTCCCAGTGTCCCCATGTCCAACTGTCCAAGTGTCCAATTGTCCAATCCGGTGGCCAGCGGTTCCATCAATCTATCGCGGCGGGCTGCTGTCAATCTCCTGCGGCAAATAAACTCGAGTGCCTCACATGCAAATAACCAATATTTGCTCTCGGATTATTAAGTGAGCCAGCATCCCATTCCGCTGTCCATTTCCAGTTCCCATCGGTGGTCATTCTGTTCCTCCTGCCGCTTTTTAGGTGGCTTGTTAACTGTTTGCTCGGGCTGTTTAATCGCTTTAACTTTAATGGTTAGGCAATTAAGAGTTCTTTGGAAAACCTCTTTGAATGGCTTTTTGTTGGAAATTATAATAAATTCTATTGAATAGCTCTGAATAACTTTAGGTCAAATTCTTATGGCATTAGAATTTCATTAGATATAATGATTATTTTGAGATATGAATTCTTTATGAAATTCATTTTAAGACTAAACAATTTGTAGTGAAAATATATATATTATATAACAAATGTTTGTATTTCTTTAAAATGACTAAACAAAAAAAATGGCAGCTTAATACTTTAATAATTTTAAAACGGTCCCTTAATGAATTCATATTTGAAAAAATAGCATTTTAACATTTAAAATGCCTGAATGACAAAATTACAAAATAAATGAACTTGTTCCTTCGTTTCATTGTGATTATTTCATACATCATAAAAGCAACCACTAAATCTTTAAATAAGAACTTTCAATAATTAGTTTATAAATTTTCAACAACAATTTTACCGCTTTCAATAAAAACACAGATTGGTTCCTTGTGTTCATTGTGCTCTGCATTATTCCCTTGATTTATTTCATGCTAATCATTTCATGGAAATGTGTACGACCCATTGACTGTTACAATAAATACAAAATCGTAGGTTTTACTTTATCGGAAAACATTTTGCGCCACCGCCGATGCCTGCAAATGGTATTTCGATCTCTAGATGATGAGGAACCATCCGCAGATAATTCGCAACGTGTACAGAGCCGACATTTATGAAATGTCGTTTAAAAGCAGCTACTCTGGTCACCACATTCGAATTTTAAAAACTGGTCGGATATTTGGCGCTTACAAACTAAATTCAATTGCGGGTATTGATGGCACACACACACGCGCACACCTGTCCCAGGGGAACAACAAAAACAGTGGCTGATTTACATGTGCTGCATTGTTGTTGTTTTGGGGGCAGAAGTGCCGCCGTGGCCAAAACGTATTGTTTGTGTTCGGGGTTTTACTCCTTGGAGGCCATGTGTCCCACCAAATTACTGGTGATCTTCTCAATCTTCTTGAGATCCGGCATGTTCTCCGCTTTGTACTGCACACACTGTGGAATAATAAATGCCATAATTGAAAATGTGTTTTTGATGATAAAGAAAAGCAGTTCAAACCTTAACGTTGTCGGTCATTTTTAGCAGTATGTGGCCCTTGGAGTGCACGTATTTCATGGTGTATCGGCAGTTTTGGGGATTCGCCATATACATATTCTCGGCGGCAATCTCGAAATCCTCCCAGTTCTTTACAAAAACCATTTTTTAAGTCGAATTAATGGAAATGCAGGCGAAATTAATGAAAACAACAACAGCAACTGGACGGCGTGACGTTGAAACAATGTGACCGTGCGAGGGTAAAAATACTAACTTGAACATCGATGACGATGAGTTTTCCGGCTGCTATCGAAAACTTATTGTGAATGGAACACTATTTTTTTATATTTCATTTTCTCAGCAGTTTTCCTATGTAATGCTTAATTTCAACCACAATCTGATATATATCATTAAAATTTGCGGAAATAAAAAAGATCTGTTAATAAATCCAATGATGTGGCAACGCTGAGAGAATTAGCGGTTGTTTTTAAACTTTTGCGGTTGGAATGTTGTTAATTTAAGCTTTTCCGCAAATGAAATAACATTATAAATGATTGTAGTTTTTATTATAATCATTCTTTCATTATAAAAGATTTAGTGTGAAAATATATTAAATAAACAGAAACACTGACTCTGCGTGTTGCAGTACGGTATTTTTTTCATTTCCTTACACAGTCACACTATCACCCACACATTCGTCGCTGCTCTGCAAAGTGTACCAATATTTATTGCTAAAATGCTGTGAAAATCTATAATTTGCTTAAAATTGAATGCTTAATTGCATGCAACTGATGGCCGCGTAGGCGTGGGCAGTGAAATCTGCGTGAAATTTCGCTGACAATGCAGCGAAAAACAAACGCGAAAAAAGATGAAATCTAGTCAATCAAATTTTGTGAATGAAGGAAAAGAGAAGAGGCGAGGGGCCAAAGCGAAAAACGCAAATAAAAGTGACACGCAGAAACAAAACAGCTAAAATGAAATTTATTTAAATATACTAGAGATTTTGTCGAAATATATGTAAATACGAGTGACACAAACAAATCATCGAAAAGTCAAGAGTGTGTGTGCGTGTGGGAGTCTCCCTCTCTCTCTCCCTCCGCTTGTTGTTGTTGTGGTGGGGTTGAAAAGGCATTGCCTGCATAACGGTTAACGCGTGACGTAGCAGTCAAGTGCACCCCCGTCCCCGCCTTCCTTAACCCTTCAGATAAGAGTAACCCCCTTTATAAAGAGAGAGATCTTCGATCTGTTTAAACCCCATTCATCATGATGGACAACGACGACGCCCTGCTCAACAATGGAGGACCACAGTCCGGAGCAGAAACGGTCTATGGAACCGAGGACAACAACATGGTCATGTCGGAGAAGGTAATTTCGATCCACAAAAGCCGTCATTCATCAGCTTTCCACTCTGATTAAACAGAAAAATAACTCGGCTTTGGATAGTATAAGATCAGTTTTTAATACCATGTTTTTTAAGTCACTCACATACTTAATGATTTTTTTTCAATTATACAATGTTTTTTGATATAAAGGGGTAAATAAATTGGGCACATAAAAAAATAAAACGTTTTTATATAATATGAAATGGGTTTTTTAATCTGGTCAAATTTTAACAAACCATCTTTTAAGACAGCCTCACATAAATGAATTTTCTACTAATTTAAGCTTTATTACTTTAGCTCTGGTCTTTTCTTAAGTGTAAATAAGATTCATTTTTTTAAATATCAAAAGGTCTTATTTATATAAAGGAAATTGACTACTGTTTACTATAATATGTACTGATTCTGATTTCTGATTCTCCCTTAAATTCGATAACACTCTTTATGTAGTCTTCATGTTTTCTAAGGGTATGCTCCACAATAAAACACACTCACATGAATATCGCTAGCACAAACACCAGATAATGAGGCTATAAAAGTGTCCCAAGCGGAAATGCTACAATCACAGAAAAATGCTTTCTTTGCTGGTTTATTTCTCTCTTTATATACGCTTAATTATGTAAAAACGCATCCAACAATTGTTTATTATGCATCAGCTGACGCTTCTGGTCATTGACATTTAAACTCGCGAAAAATATCAACCAAAAATGGGTAGAAAAAGAGAGTTAGAAGGAGGAAAAGAGGGTAAAAAGCCGGGGACCAGAAATCAATAAAGTCAGTCAGTCGACCCTTAAATTTTATGACCACCACACGCAATCTTTTGGAGAAAAAAAAATCTAGTAACTACTAGCAAATAAACAGATTTACTTTGCGCTTCCAAAAGCTTTAAATATACAATGTGGTTATAAAAAAATTTGTTTTGTTTATAAAAACATAGCATTATTTTCAAATTATGAAAAAACAAAAAAATAAATATTACAATCATTACAGCACAGGCTTCATTATTTTTATTTCTAAACAATTCAAAACACCACAACTATTGTAAAAATAAAAGTATAAAAATATGATAGACAACTTACACGCTTATCGATTTTTATAGCCCTATATTTAATATTGTTAGCAGTGTAACCTCCCCCTGCTCTGCAGTCTAGTTTATTTTTATTTTTCACCCCAATTCCCTGATTGATTTTGCACTTTATCAGCTTCGGCAGCTTTAATCGAGCTATGCAAATTAAAGCAAAGAGGCCTCCATCCGACTTTTAACACTCATATATACGTGTGATTTCCTTTCCCTTCCGAATGAGCTCATCAGGTTCCCCTAAATTCTTGGTTCTTGGCGCACATGTTCCGCTGATAAGCTACCTGTTAATTGAGTAATGAGTTTGCAGCCATTTCAAGGGGGAAGCATTTGCCAGCACACCGATTAAAACTTGTTTCTTGACCCAACACCAGCAGAAACTATTTATGAAACAAGTCTTGCCCAAAAATGTCTAAATACTTTAGCTTGTTGGCCTTATAAGTGTGCCCAACCTTGGTCTAATGACAAGTTTTTTAGAGAAGGGAGTTGGCGTGCAGTGGGAATGCCATGAAACCCTATATATTTTATTAAAAGTTTAACCAAAAACTAATATTTATTTATAGAAATAACCATATGTTTCTAATGAATGATTTTTATAGAAATGTTTTTAACATTCGAAAGGTTGTAATTTTTAATGTGTCAGCTTGTTATATAAACTAAAAAGAAACGGGTGGTTTTTTTTATTAATTTTTATAACTGACAATTGTTTTTAATTGCACAGCATTCACCAATTCATCACGCACTTATTCACATTTTGGGTTTTAGTTGTACATTTTCAGTTAATTTGTTAAAATTTTGTTTTTATGTGTCCTTTACACCTTGTTTTTGTTCTTTTCTTTCTCTTTCAGAACGAGCAGGTTGTCAGCATCGTGAGTTATCCAAATTTTTCGTTTGTGGTCTATTTCATTTTCCCCCCTAATACTCTTTTTGTTGTTATTCACATTCCGATACGTAAATGCACGACATACCTATACTATATACTATAGACGCCTTGCAATTGTTTGTTTTTATTTTAATTCACTGCCAAGAATTTAAAGCCGAGAAGGTGTCACACTTAACCTTTCTCGGTTTTGTTATTTGGCGGAAATAATCTCGTTTAATAACCAAATGCATGACTGGGGGTCTGAATTTAAGACCTTTCCGTTAATAAAAACTGATTTAATTAAGTCATTAAATGTGAGTTCCTAACTATCTTTACTTCTTACTCTCTTCGTTTGTTTAAATATGTTTTATGTTTGGTAATTTTACTCTGATTTTCAAGGTGTTACTACGTAATGTCCTGGGAAAATCTAACAATTGGTTAAATTAGAATATCTAAATGGTTTTAGCGGGGTTTATGAAGTTACTTCCTGTAATTCTTGTTACCCTACTAATCGATTGCACTTTGTTGTCCCCTGATTTCATTCAAATTAAAGCTCGACTGATGCACATTTTCTTTGCAGGTCCAACAACTGGCGGGTAGCATTTATCAAGAGTTCGAGCGGATGATCAATCGCTACGATGAGGATGTGGTAAAGAACCTCATGCCGCTGCTGGTGAACGTGCTGGAGTGCCTGGATGCCTCGTATCGCATCAATCAGGAGCAGGATGTGGAGGTGGAGCTGTTGCGCGAGGACAACGAGCAGTTGGTGACACAATACGAGCGGGAAAAGAGCGCCCGCAAACAGTCCGAACAGAAGGTAGTCACCTTCAAATTCAAAAAGAATACTTTCAAAGCTTAATATTAATACAAATTTCATTTTAATAGCTTTTGGAGGCTGAAGACTTGGCCGAGCAGGAGAATAAGGAGCTGGCCACACGTCTGGAGTCGGTGGAGAGCATTGTGCGAATGCTGGAGCTGAAGCACAAGAACAGTCTGGAGCATGCCAGTCGCTTGGAAGAGCGAGAAACAGACCTCAAGAAGGTATGTAGTAAAAATAATTATAATTTATAAACCCATTTACCCTTTAATTTACATCTTTAACAACCCTAGGAGTACAACAAGTTGCACGAGCGTTACACGGAGCTGTTCAAGAACCATGTGGACTACATGGAACGCACCAAGATGCTGATGGGCTCAACGCACTCCCAAATGAGCACCGCCTCCGATCGCATGGATGTGAGTCGAGCGAGACTTAATCCGGTGGCCCGGAGTTCGGGACCAGTTTCCTATGGTTTCGCCTCGCTGGAGAACTCGGTGATGCTGGACACCGAGACCATATGCAGTGTGGGCAGTCAGTCGGATGATTCCGGGCCGCCATCGCTGCAGAACGAGCTAGACAATCTGGGCGGAACGGTGGAACGCGGCGCTGCCACCGACGCACTGCAGCAGCAACACCAGGCCACCTCGCCCCAAAGTCCCGACAGCAGTCCCGTCGTGCCAAATGTGCCCACAAATGGTAGGTGCAGGGATTTGATGGATCACACACACACACACCTCTGCTAGCTACTCAACCGCTTACCGTACTAATGTTTCCTCTCTCTTCTTTTGATTTTTGTGTTAACTCAACTAAACCAACCGAACAACCCCATCCAAAATCCCCATCCCAGTTGGTCGCTCGACCACCAAGAAGGAGCAGCGCTCGGATAACAATCTCTACCAAGAGCTGTCCTTCCAGGATAACGAGGAGAGCGAAGAGAATGAGATTGTCACAGGTGAGAAGTCCATTGGGGGAAATTGTGTTTGTGGGACTACTTTCCATTGCACCCTAAATGTTGCTAATCAAAAGTGCCTGAGTCCAACTCAACCAAGCTGTTACTAAATGCCAATATCCTTCTTTCTCCCCATTGCTTTGCTTAAACACAACATTGCAACAATCTCATGGAACTCCACTCTTGTTTGTGTGGCCAAAAAACCCTTCAGGCAGCTGGGTTCATCCGGGAGAGTATGCGTCCTCAGGTAGGTACCACTCAAGCACTCAAGACAATCAACCACAGCAGCAAGAGCAAAGACAAGTACAAGAAACTCAGCTAGAATTACCATATAATTCCTACATATATGGATTCATCTATATAACCTGTAAATACATCAAATATCATGCGAGATTCGACTAAACAAACTAGGAAAAAGAGTTTTAAGGATCCTCACGTATTTTGTGTGTATTTTCCTTGTGATATCTGTTGGAAATTATGTGCTCGAAAGTGTGTCAGCCTGCTATCAAGCATTAGCAAACTAGAAAAATTATTCAAATTTAGATGCAACAAATAAAATTGTATAACATGACCTCTAATGAAATTTCTCTTTCTTTTATGCCGAATTCTACTTGCCCAAAACCAAACCTTTTCGTTTCCTCCTCCACAACAAACAAAAAAAACAATATATTTCTCTTGCAATTACTAAACACAATCCACAATCAACAACTATGTTTGCATTGTATTGCTCCTTTGAAGCTAACGACAACTATTTTGGTAAGTCTAATGTGTGCTACGAACACCCTCATAACTATCGATAAAGTAGCTCCCAACTATTGTGATCGTAGTTGTCTCCTCATTACCCTTTTAGTATCGTAAGTAGTTATCGCCTAAATCGTCCAGTATCGCTGTTAAGTAAATTAATAACTTTATTTTGGTGTTTGCGTTGTTTTAGGCTGTTGTTTGGATTTTGCCATAACATTTGGTTTTAGTATCTCCATTTTCTATTTATTTTGGTAGTTTTTAGTTTATTTCTTGATATGGTTTTGGTTTTTTCTTCCTTTCTTTTTATGAATGCAATATGTGAAGGTTTATGTTTATGTTTCATTTGTAGCAATTATCAGTTAACCCACATCAACACTTGAGTTTCACTTGCATTTTTCTAACGCTTTTACTCTTGTTTCGTCGCAAAGAATCACTTAACACACACCCTTTATTAATAAAGCCTTCAATCCCATTTCAGGCATGGGCAAGGAGGTGGAAAATCTCATCATGGAAAATAATGAGCTGCTGGCCACCAAGTGAGTATCACTAACGATGTTCCCAATTGGGAATCAATTAGCAGAAATCAATTATACCCATGCCGCCCACGTTACAGAAATGCACTCAATATTGTCAAGGACGACTTGATTGTGAAAGTGGATGAGCTCACTGGAGAGGTGGAAATCGTTCGCGAGGAGCTCAATGCCATGCAGCAATCGAGGACCAAGCTGAGGCAGCGCATCAGTGAGCTTGAGGATGAGCTGAAGAAAGCCAAGGAGCAGGTCAAGCAGCAAAGTAAGTAGATGTAGCACTCTACTATGATTTGCCACAACTAATCATATGGCTTAATTCAATCCCCATTTAGACACAGAACAAGAGGAGAACGATGTGCCGCTGGCTCAGCGAAAGAGATTCACTCGAGTGGAAATGGCCATGGTGCTGATGGAGCGTAACCAGTACAAGGAGCGCTTAATGGAGCTGCAGGAGGCAGTGCGTCTCACAGAGATCCTACGCGCCTCACGCACTGTAGATAATTTGGACAGGAAGTCGAAGCAGAGCATTTGGAAGTACTTTAGTAATCTTTTTACGTAAGTTTGCCATCAAAATCCGTTGGAATCTGTTTAATATGCATTAATATGCTTGCCCTTTCATATGGACAGCCCCTCCAACCGGCCAACGGAACGCGTTGCGGACGGTCTTGGAGGGGGGCCGATGTTTCGTCACACCGGCGGAGGAAGCCCTGCCCACAGCCACGGATCGCCCAGTCGAGGAAGTGGAGGTGGCGACCATCGCCTGGCCCTAACCAGCGGCCAGCCGCCCGTGCATCCGGCCAGCGCTGGCTTGGCCAATGCCCTCATCATGCCCAAGGACTATGCCGAGGAGGGTAGCTCCGAGAGGATTAGTGCACGCAGGAGGGAGCAATACCGCCAGCTACGCGCTCACGTACAAAAAGAGGATGGACGACTGCATGCATACGGCTGGAGTCTGCCGATCAACAAGGCCAGCCAGGAGGCGAATCCGAATCGTCACTCGGGCGGCGTACCCGTACCGGTCTACTGCAATCCCCTGGCGGAGGCATCGCCGCACATGAAGGTGTTCTGTGCGGCTGGCGTTAATCTGCACGGCGGCTTCACCAAGAATGGCCAATCGCTGATACCTGCCAACTCACCGTATGCTCCGAAGTCCACGCTCAAGATTGCCGAAATCACCAGTCCGACGGCAGATCAGAGCATGGAGGCGTTGGACAGACAGATGGCACGGGTCAGCCTGGAGACGCTCGAGCCGGAGACGCAGCTCAGTTCGTTCGTGTGGATATGCACCAGTACACATGCCGCGAGTACGGTCAGTGTGGTGGATGCCAATCAATCGGCCACCGTTCTTGATGCCTTTCCCATCTGCGCCTCGCATTTGCTTTGCATTGCCTCTGTCCAGGGAGCGATGGAGAGTGACTACGCGCTGCTGGAACAATCGGAGGTGGTCAAGGCAGGCGAAATGCTACAGCGACCGGGCGAAGGTGCCGAGCTGCTCGGCAAGGTGGAGTTTGTACGGGTTAAACCAAAGACGGACGATGAGCAGAATAGCAATGCAGCAAGCAAGCAGCAGCAGCAGCAAGAGGAGGAGGAGGCCAAGGAAGCCACGGAGAAGTCCAACGAGCAGCTGCCGGAGTTGGGTGCCGAGGAGCCTTTGGGCAATGTGGAGGCCATCAAGATACGACAGGCACTGCCAGGAGCTCCGCAGCGTCTATCCACCAATGGCAACCAGCAGCCAGCAAACAACAACAATAATACGTCGAGCGGCAACCTTTTGTTTGCCACCAAATCGCTCAATCCCATACTCGAGACCAAGGATCGCGATGAGCCGGCAATGAGTTCGGTGGGTCCGACGATGTGGCTGGGCGCCCAGGATGGCTGGCTGTATGTGCACAGCAGCGTGGGCAGGTGGCACGAGTGCCTGCATCGGGTTCTCCTGCCGGACGCTGTGCTGGCGATTGTGCATGTGGAGGCGAGGGTCGTTGTGGCGCTGGCCAATGCCCAGCTGGCCGTGTTCCGCCGCCAGACAGACGGCCAATGGGATCTGAATAGCTATCACCTGGTGACGCTCGGTGATCGCAACCATTCGATACGTTGCCTCTGTGTGGCCGGCGAGCGCATTTGGGCGGCGCACCGCAACAAGATCTTCATCGTTGACCCCGTATCGCTCAACATTGTGCACTCGCTGGACGCGCATCCGCGCAAGGAGAGCCAGGTGCGCCAAATGGCGGCCACGGGAGCAGGTGTCTGGGTATCGATCAGGTGGGTAGACCCCCCTCTCCTCCTTTTTCTCTTTGGAGTCATTAAATAAAATTAATTATAATTCTTATACATTTCAGGCTGGACTCCACGCTGCGGCTGTACAACACGCACACGTTCGAGCACAAACAGGACGTGGACATTGAGCCGTATGTATCGAAGATGCTGGGCACCGGCAAGCTGGGCTTTAGCTTCGTCCGCATCACCGCCCTGATGGTGTCCTGCAACAGGCTGTGGATTGGCACCAGCAATGGCGTGATCATCTCGGTGCCACTGGCTGAGGTGCAGCCAAAGTCATCATGTGAGTTTCTCTACTTAATTGTAATCTGAATGTACTTAGTTTGTGATTTGATTTGATTTGATTTGGCAGCCGATCCGCATGGTCAGATGCCGTTGTGCTGCATGGCCAATGCTCAACTCTCCTTCCACGGCCACCGGGATGCGGTGAAGTTCTTCGTTTCGGTGCCCATGCTGCAGCAGCCGAACCTGAACGGCGGACTGACCTTCAGCAACAAACGGCCCGATATGCTAGTCATGTGCGGCGGCGAGGGCTACATCGATTTTCGCATAAGTAAGTGGCCACCGAGTCCGCCGGATTGGACGGATCGGGCAGCGAAGCTTTGAGCCGTGTATAACCATTCCATATTCCATCCCATCTGCAGGACATGATAAGTTCGATGCTAGTGATAATGCAGCGCACTTGATAGTTTGGAAAGTCGATACGTAAGCTTTGATTTCGTTTTCATTTTAATTTTCTTTCGTTTTTTTTTTGCTTTTGCTATTTTAATTTTCTTTATTTAGTTGACTGCTTAGTTTTTATTACTCTCTTATTTACCTACTGTCTTAATTTGACTTATTTTGTTTGCCCATGTTACGATTTAATTGTGCAATTTCTGCCCTGTCCGTAGAACCTTCAATCTGTAGCAGGATGGGAACCGAAATGTGAATTGCAGCATTTGTCTCTGCCGTGACCTGAACCAAACTAAACCGCTAAGACCGCTAAGCAGGTTTACGCAAGTCCCTTTTTTAATTTTATTCATGTTTTTCTTTACTGTTCCTCTATCGGCACCAGTTTTCCCTTCCTCACAGTGCTTTTAGCCGGTCGAAATTCAATTATCACTTTGTACTGCCAAGCACAGGACACTGTCTTTTCACACAAACTCATTGGTGTACCGTGTTTCTTGTCCTAAAAACATTACCTGTAATCACAATATCTATGTATCAGGGTTAGAAATTTATTTGAAGGGCTTTGTATACCTCTTTATTACCTTATTTTGCTTTAAACTGATGTATTATATTTATGGGCCCAAAGAACTTAATTTAACCAGCTCTTTTCTTCAGTTATTAATATAAAGATTTATTTATTATTTGTAAATTTAATAAAACTTGCGTTCAAATGACCATACAAAATGGTGCACAATTCGCTGAACTGCTTTCAAAATTATAATACTAAATACATAAGTATGAAAATCCTAAAACCTAACGACTTCCCAACTGTATTTTGCCGTGTAAAATCATTGTAAATGTTTAGAACCGAATGATAATCTGTAGTTTTGAATTGAAGCACTAACCCATACCTCAGATAGGTCGTATTTGTGTACAGGCACCTATAACTAATATATTAATTGTGATTAATTGACATTTTACAGATGATAACGACATGGAGAACAGTATTCAACTGGAACCAAATCAAACGATCGAAAATCGAGGCGATAAGAGTTACTTGATTGTGTGGCATGTTAGTCAACGTTAAAACCGATTATTTGGTTTAAGTGCAAATGATTATTTATAAAAGTTATATGAATACATATATATACATGTATAATCTAATAATACGATACTTGCAGGCTAGCGAAAAGATTACCTTAAACATTAGTATTTATCTAACCTACCTTAAAAACAACCACGATGACAAAATGGGTTCTATAAAATAATTTAGTTAAACAATTTTCAAATTTTGGCCGCGAGGCATACCCAATTGATTCTTATTGCTTCAATTAAACCAAAAATAAAACCTGCAAAGTTATTTGTCAGTGATAGCCAGCTAAATATTTCATGATATATATATATTTATATATATAAATAATACATAATAAGAGTGTAACAAGATTTAAATTTGTAAATTTTATGCGCTCTGCTGGCAGCAAGTTATGTATTTTGCATAGACACAAAAACACCACATTTATATTTAATTATAAATATATTAAAACATGATATAGAAAAGTGCGCCTTTTCAAGGGAATTTTTGCGTGATTCTTCGTCCAAATATGTAGTAGAATCTTAATTTCTTGTATCATTATTTTATTTTATTTTAAAGCGCAATGTTGAGCAATTTATGTTTAGTTATTTTGTTAAATAATTTTAAACTTTAGTTGAAAATTTTCGGACCTTAACTTTGATTGTTATTCATTTGTTTGTAAGCCTTGGTTAGTAATAAAACAAAACGGAGTAAAAATTTTTGATTTGTCTCTTAAATCGCAGAGATTTTTAACGGATTTCTGATGGCGCCAGGCAAGTGATATTTATGTTTTATTTCATAACATTAGCATTAAAAACAACAGCTTAGAATATCTGCATACGTATTAGCTTTGGCTTGACTTGTGAAATTAAATAACGACAACCAAAAATATACAAAACAAAAATTGCAACAAAAATAAACTGTAAATAAAGACCGATCCATACATTAAATAGCAAATATATTGAAGTTTTAATCAAAATAATTTATGTTAATTTCATTCTTTTTTTTTTTTGTTCTAAACTTTTTTTTATTTTTGAAACAGTTTTGCGGCTAAAAAGTTTACTTTTTAATAAAACAAAAATATGGTTCCCATTTATAAGCACCAACATAATATCTTAAGTCATTTAAATAGGAGTCATTAGTTTTAAAATTGTTGTTGTTGTTAAAATTGCGCAACATTGCTACCTAATAGTATCCTATGCGACCTTACCTAAGCCAATATACGTATACCGAAATAACAAACAAATATATAATTGATATATTTAATTGTACCGGAGTTAAGATTTTTCGACTAGTGTAGTTATGGTTGCTCAGTACTTTTGATAATTGATAATTTTTTGCGAATGAAGAGAGACTAGCTCCTCAGAAAAGTCCACCTTTTTATCAACTGGAAGATATTAAAATATTAGTTTTAAAATTACAACAGCTTAAGCCTTTGCCAGTCAAAAATAAAACATTTTCATTTACATTTCATATTTAAAATACAATTTTTATTTTGTTTTCTTACTAAAAAGTTAATTATTTCTTTTTTAAAGGCTTTAAGTTTTTATTTTCTGTTTAGTCAATGGATTTTTTAATCTCCAGCTCGATTTTTTCCATTTTCAGCTCCATATCCTTCAAATTTCTTTGAATTCTATATTCTGCTTTATAAGGAAACTTAAATCTATGTACATATGTTTATCCAATGTTTGCCAGGCACAAAATTCACAAAATCTATCCATTGTTTTGCGTGACATCATTTTTTAGCTGAGATGGCAAAATTCGTATCTTTTTTTTTTTGAACTATTAGCTCGTTTGTTTTTGTATTTAGCTCCAGTTTTTGAATCTTTAATGATGCTTCCATATCCATTTCTTTATACGTTCATGTTGTTCCAGACCCATTTTGTTTAGTTTTTCTGGCCATTTTCTCGATCAGTTTTTTGGGGAGTTCCCCGATTTCTTTTTCGCTTGCGGCAACCTTTAATTCTGGATCTCCATCTTTTTTAGTTCTAGCTCGATCTTTTTTGTTTCCAGCTCCAGTTGTTTAATTTTTAATGAAGCTTCAATATCCTTTTCTTTCATACGTTCTTGATGTTCCACATCCATTACTTTCATACGTTCTTGGTGTTCCAGATCCATTTGCTTTAGTTCTTTCAGGCCACGTTGCTCGAACATAATCCGGCGGAGTGCGCTGATTTCCGCTTCGAATGCGGGCCCTTTTCTATTGTTTTCAAAGTCAAACCAGATGTCAAAATCAACCATATCCATTGCTTGTAATTGGTCAGTGCTAAGAACTGTATTATAAGTTTCGAGTTGAAAAACGTCTGTCTTCTGTATCTGTCTTTTAAATACTCATATACTTACATATATGCATAAATATTTCACTAGAAATAAATAAAGTTTTTAATCAGCTTGTGCCGCTTGGTCACACTACGCGTTATGGCGCGTCAGCTGTCGTTTAAATATATATATATATATATTTTATTTATATATTTCACATTTAAACCATAAGTAAATTTATATAGCTTGAGTTCTTTCTATTAAGCGTTTCCAGTGTCTTGATCTTAAATTTTTGTATAAACATAAATAAGTTTAGAGCCGTTCAAGTCGTTAGGTGTAACCTTCATTCGATTGCATAAATATTCCACGATACTTAAAAAATGTTTTAGTATATACCAACATAAGTAAAAGCTTAGAGAAATACTGAAATGTGCAATAGATGTTTATTGTAATAGCTTTTTGTTCACACCATTAGTGTTCAACTGCTGCTTATCATACGTGAAGATTTCGGGGAGTCCCCTTATTTTTATAGGCTGACTGTCAATACTTATAAAGTCAATTATGTTTGCATTTGATCTTTAGTTATTTGTATATGTATGTTTTTATGTTCTGTAGTTTTAATTTAATTCCAGTTCTGTCCAGCACTTTTATCAAGCTACATTATTTTACATTAATAAATACATAGCTGATTTATTAGTTTTAAATTTAATTTAGCTGATGATTAATTCTCATTAATTCCTGGTTTTTTCACCTGTTCTTCTTTATCTTGCTTTATGTGCTGCTCAATAGTTTTAAAGAGTTTGGTTTCTTATTGTCCACCATACATTACCTGGATGGATGGATATCCTCAAGATTAAAATGTGTTTTGTTATTAATAGTTCAGCATTTTTAAAAAGTAATACTTAAATAAGTATTGAGCATTGTACTTTATAAACATATTGAATTATTTGTATAAATTCGGAATCAATTGAAAATGTAGCAGTTTTCAATTCGTATGCTTAATCTCCATCTTGAAACCTAATCCATCAAAATTTGGCGACTTTTTTGCAATTAAAACAACGTTATTGTTGGCTATGATAAAATCATTTGGAATCCTTGATCCACAGAGGTTTTTTACAAGTTTGCGGCCGTCCGTAGTGTTGGCATACAATCGTACATTATCCAGATCACAATTGGTTTCCGAGCCCATGTTGAATTCTAAAAGGTACACAGTTAGTAGTGAACAAATTATTTTCAATTGAAGAAGCCAAGGCTCACCTTGGAAACTAAATCGCAGGTTTCCGCCTGGGGGTACGGATATAGTCCAAGTACACAATGAACTATTGCGGCCTTCGTAGGAGGGATTCTCTAGGTAGCTTCCCTTCGAGCCAAGCACTGCTAGCTCACCGCCACAGCCGCCGGGAAATTGGTTGCTTGTGGAAAAGTAGAAGAGCTTGAGGAAGGATACTCCACGGCTGTCGAGGCGCAACTCGTTGGTGGTCGTAATTCTGGCAGAGGTTTCCCATTGAATGTGCGAAGTGGTGAAAATTGTCTTGTTTGAATTTAGATCCGTCACCTGTAATTATTGTAGTGCTTAATATTTGCCCTATCAAAAGTATCTATAAAAGTTAACCTACGTTGAAGTAGTTATTTTCCAAATTGCTGAACATCACAGACATTACGTATAGCGTAATGCTGTAACCCTTTGGTACTCGAATATAATCTGTACAGCTGGTAAGATAGTTGACATCAATAAATTGACTCAGTTCTGTATAGTTTCCATTGCATGCTGTAGAAGATCAGTTATCGAAAATTCGCTTTATAAAACGGCAGATATTTAAAAAACGATTGCGCATACTTGGCTTTCGTCGGATGACAACTTCAAACCCTTGGGACTCCTCGAGTTCGTCGCTGTGGAAGGTGAGTTGCATGTCAGATAAATCAATTTCTTCATTCAACTTGAAGCTTTTGTCGTGTTGTCCGCAAAAGGATTGGGTGAACTGAAAAGTAATAATTAATTAATTAAAGTTAATAATTATGAGTTACATACGTAAGACTTGGACACTTTCAAGTAGTCCTCGCATTTTCCAGTTCTCTGCGATATTTCCTTAAGGCGTAACTTTTGGAAATCTATTTCCAAATATCCTTCGTACTTAATTGTCCAAGTACAATGAATATTTCCCTCGTAGCTCCTTGTGCTATTGTCGTACTGTATGCCCAGTGTAACGGTCTATTGGGAAAAGTAATCGAAATAATTGAACAAATGAGAGAATTCGAATTTGAAAAAACTTTTCAAAATCATGTGTAAATTTTTCGAAATATTATTTCAAATGTCTCACCTCGTATATGCGCATGTTGTACACCGCTTTACCGCATACAGTGGGTTCCATTTGCAGAATCAGCTCGAAGCTAATGTTTCTATCCTGTCCACTCTTGGCGCTCAGATGGAAGTCCATGTCCGAGTAGGAACTGAACACCTTGGTCCGGTTCGCACCCGATCCATAGTATTTGCCCAGGTTTCGGTCTTCGACCTCTGCGCTATCCAGGATCTCTAAGTAGCTGCAAGTGCGGCAGTCAGCACCGTTTAGTTGCAATTTGCGCACCTCCAGAGAAAGTCGATAATCGGGCGGAACACTCGCACTGAAGTGGCACAGCAGCGGTTCGGTGGCATTGATGCGGTACGAACGCATCAAATTCGTACGTGGCCCTTCCGAGTCCAGGCTCACGCGCTCGTTGCAGTTCTGCGTGAAGCGAACGCTGGCCAGGAAGCCGCGGCGACTGTTGGAACTGTCCGTGGACAGGACAATCAGTGCCTCGTTGCTGTCCACCATGATGGTGGGCGGACTCGTCTTATTGCCGCACAGTTGGTCTACCCTCTGCTCCACGCTGGCCACTTTGCCGCGGTAAATGCTCAGACTGTCGAAGCGACAGTTCTGAGCTTCCTCCATGTCAAAGTACTTGAACTCAATGACCACGGCGTGTTGCGGTGGTGCGACCACTCTCCACTCACACTTCATGTCGTGGGCATACACGTCGTGCTCTTCATCCTGCGGCGGGCGAAGCGTGAAGGATTCATTGTGGTCGCCACCGCATCCAATTAAATGGTATTGCAGCTCGAATCCATGCGTCGTTGTGGAAACAAACTGCAGGCGAAGTTTGTCATAGCCATGCACCTCGAAATCGGGACACAGCTTGCCCATACTTGTTTCCACGCTTCCAGCAACTGAACGATAACCTTCGAAGTAAGTTCTGGTACAGCTAACCGGTGCCCATGGATGTCCTCGGTTTTTCACACTGACCACCAGTTGATGGTCGTTGTTGGCGAGGAATGTGTAGCTGCAGTTGTAGTGCTGCAGGCGGTAGGTTGTCCAGCTGGGAGTCTCCTGGATCTGAACACCTGCCGTGGCCTGCAGTACGGCATCGCAGCTGGGGGAGACTTGGAAACTGAAGCCATCGCCCGTCACATTGGAATTCGTGCGGAATATCACGCGAATCCGGGTGGATGGCACTAGAATTTCGGGCGGCGTTTGCCTGCCACAGAGGCTGGTCACCTCCACATACGCTCCAGCCGAGCGATCGTAGCGCTCGACGGTCAACCGATCGTTCGTACAGTTGGGTGACAGTTCAATGAAGAAGCGGTCCTTGAATTGTAACTTCAGTGAGAGCCCATCCTTGGTCATGAACTCCCATACGCGCTCCATGTTGTTCAGGTAGTCCTTGCTCTCGATCGTCACCGGTGGCGCTGGTCGGTGATCCAGGCGTATCACATTGCCGACGGATATGGACTGCCGAGCGATCAGGATGAACCGGCTGGCTCCGAGGTCTCGGTTTTCCGAATGGTACAGAACAGTTGAGGTGGCACGCGCCAGAAGCGTGCTATTTACGGTCATGCCGCGACAAATGCGACCCACTTCCGTCTGCCCGCTGAAGATCACAATGTATTCCCGATCGCAGCGGTCGGTGAGGGTTGCGTTGCCCTCCAGAACATAGCCATTACTGTTGGTTAGCGTCCAAAGGCACTCCAGCACACCGTAATCGTCATCAAGGGTGGGCAGGATCTCTGGCGACTCGATGGCAGTTCCCTCAGCGGCCTGCAGTCGTCCGCCGCAACGGTGTCGCCGATATGTGGCCCGGAAGCGCCGCAACTTAACATTGTCGCTGTTCAGGAGCGTCACACGTCCGACTGTGGTGGCCAGAGATACAAAACTATTGGTGACATTGGCGAACATCGCCTTGAACGGAACACGCTGGACGTCATCCACAAACACAACCGCTGGACCGCCCATGGTCTGGAGCAGGTACTCCTCGACCTTAAAGGTGAGCGTTGTACTTGCAGCGCAGGAGAACTGGATGCTGCAGTGGTAGCTGGGCAGCTGGAGAAGCGTCTGGATGGAAAGCGATCCCGTTGCCTGGTCTCCAATGTCCGGCGGACACACGGTTGGCTCACTGGAGCTGAAGCGAGCTCTTAGCGCTGTGGAGCTCAAGTCCAACTGACTGGCCAGGACAACGACGAGCATAAAATTGTCCGTTGACTCGATTATTCCACTGCCGTTGTAGCTATTGATCCGGAATTCTGTGATCTTGGACAGTGAGTTGGCGTCGTTGTAAAAGGAAAAGTGTGCCGCATTCGCTAAGCGAACGTATCTGGTAAGAGTTAATTTCATAAATTAAAAATTACAAATTTATAAAATTATTAAAACAAGTAAACTTAATTAAATTAATAGTATGTATAACTAAATTAGTATTTGACTAGACAGAACTTTGACTAAGAAAATTGTTAGAAATTATAAAATTATTAAAATTTGTTTAGCTAAGTAAGAAATTGATTGACGAGTGAATTAGGAACTTTCATTTTTTTGTTTTTTTATGATAATATGTAAATTATTGGTACTTTACCGGTTTTTAATGTGGATTAATTTGTTTAAGATACATAGTACGAGAAAACAAGTCTAAATACATTACTCACCTGGTGTCGTTTCGCATGACAACGCGTATGTCAGCCAGATTAAGAAGACGCAGCCGCACCCTCTGTCCCTTGGGAACTTTGATGGTCAGGCGACAGAATCTCAGCCAGGATGATTGTGGCAAGCGCGGGAACACGATGTCCCCCTCCACTCCGCTTATATCTCGCGAGCACGTTCCCAGGGCGCGCTGATATTGCAACTTAAAGCCCCGATAGCTATTAACATTTTTGATTGCAACAAAGCGAATGGCTGCGGCGTTGGTGTTTAGGGTGACGAGCATGGGCGTGACTGTGCTGCCATCCACGATCAGTAGCTCTTTGGTTGGGTCCGCCAAGTCAACGATTTCCAGGCGATCGCTGGTTTCTTTTGAGGATGTTCCACTGGGATCGAAGGGCAGGTGCAGATCGGTGATGTTCAACCGGATGAACGTGTCCTTGGGAAAGCGAATGCTGTACACGCACAACGATGGCTTTGGATATCCTCCCAAATGCGGATAGTTCTCCGAGCTGAGAGTGCCAGGCGACCCGCTGAACTGGCCGCCACATGTGCTCAGTGACAAGTTGAGCCTAAAACCTCCAGTGGGTTCATCGAGCTGCGACTGGTAGTGGACGAGAAGCAGGTTGCCGGTACTGCGCACCGTGGCCTGTGGCTTGCGGCAGACGCGGCTCAGGCTGCGGGCCAGTTTGGTGGAGCCGTCAAACAACTCCACATGCTCCTTGTCGCAGTGCCGAGCACTCAGTTCGAATGACTCGTCAAAGTCGGCCGCGATGGTCTCACCCACCGGCGCCATTATCAACCACGTGCAATCCGAATGCGGTTGGGGTAGATATGGAAATCCTGGTGACATGACCACATACTTGGGAGCCTGCTGGGTCAACTTAATCTCACTATCACACTCATTAAACTCTCGGTACGTGAGAGTCCAGAGGTTTGTATCCAATGATCTCCTATTGCCCAGTTGGTATTTCACGTAGGCATGCGAGCTACTCGTCCGAAACGTTGTTTTCTTAAAACCCTCATGGTTACAGAACTTGCTGTGCTCCAGCAAGGGAGCATGGTCATCCAATCCATCGTAGATAAGACCATACACCTCACAGTCACCGGCAGAAGGTGGGCCGTTGTAAGTAATCGTGATGTCAATTTTACGACCTGGTCGCACATCGATGTGCCAGGCGCATACATTGATGTCTTGAAAGGGCGGCTCTGGAATGGTGCCCACGGTGCCAGTCATATTGGAGCCACAGGCAGTGCGGACGTTCGCCTGAAAACCGGTACCATTAATGGACACATCGCTGTGGAACTGCAGTCGCAGATGTGGCGTGCCATGAACTGGGATAATCGCATCCGTAGATTCCCGTTTCTTGCAAACGCGCACCTCATTCGTCCAGTGGCTTAGATCGGGCGAACTTTGAATTTGTAGATAATCGGCGGTGCAGTCGGAAAAGACCTCCAGATCTGCTTTGTAAAAATAGACCAAGATATGACGAGTAGGGTCCTCTGGCCTCAGGGTCCATTCGCAATTCAGATTGGGTGCGTAGCCATGTGGATAACCCGGCGAACTTAATTCAATGCGGGCAGAGGATGTCATCGTCAGCTCCTGGGTACACTGCTTGGAGGTCAGGGTGACATTACCCGTCACCAGATGGGAGTCGAGCACGTGCCACTTCAAACGGAAGTCCCTAAGATCCGCATTCATGGTCTTCAAGTAGACCACATTGCTGCTGGATGTGAAAGTCCATGGACTGGCTGCAATGTTGACCACCAAAGCACTGTCATCATAGCCATCGAACAGCTGGCAAACGTTTTTTTTTTTTTTTGCAAATATTAGTTATTTTTGCATTTAATTATTTGTGATTTTTCTCACCAAAAGGCCGGAAATGTATTCGTCAAAATGCAAGACTATAACCTTTTCGCGCTCCGCGAAAATGCGCCAAGTGAAGGGCTCAAACTCGTCGTTAAGGAAGAGCGATGGAGGCTGCTCAATGGTTCCATTGGTGCCATTTGTAATTTCAATGTTGTGCACTGCAGATTAGGACATAAGGTTCTAAGAATGTCGTAACAACAATTGCCCACTTTAGATCACTTACCGTAGCTCCAGCGCAAACGGAAACCGCCGGCAGTGTTGCCCGGTGTGCTGCGGAATTTAATCCAAAGCTGAGAGTTAACCAGCAACGGACCCTCCGGCAATTTCTTATCGCAGTAGAGTCCAAGGAGTGGACCCTGGACGCCAGAACGCAGCTCCAGGAAGTCCTCGTTGCAGTGATCGGAACGAACAATGTCCATGGCGTCAAAGTTGATTTCCAGAGCATTTCCCGGACGCACCTCGATGGTCCAGACGCACTCAACGTTGGCCGGATAACTGTCCGGGTAGTTGGGCGAACTGAGGCTGCCACGGACAGACGTGATGTTTCCCCCACACGAGTTCTCAAAGGTGCTGTACTGCGCCTGCAGCCTAATCCCTTTGGTCTCGATGCGTACATTGTTGGCGGGGACAACTAAATTGGCATTGTGATCGCGACACAATTGATAGAGTACCACCTGATCATCGTCGTTGATCAGCTTAAGGACCGGGCAATTGTCCGAGCCTACGGCACATAATGGACACTCTAGCTGATTGATGTTAAGGGCAAGTTTGCTGCCCTCAGGTGAGGAGATCAGCCAGTCGCAGTCCTCGTCTAGCCGGGATTGCAAATAGCCCTCCCCGGTGGCAAGTGGACCACCACATGTGCGCTCGAAGTGCATGGCAAACCGGCCCCAAGTTCCCGCTTGGGCTTTGAACCGGACACGCAGCTTCTGTCCGTGAACTAGCCGGATCATGGGCGCATCGTCACCACAGGGCTTCTCCAGGAATTCCTCTTGGTCGTCCGACGTGAGCTTAGTGAGTTCCACGAAACTAAGTGAGCAGTTGGCCGAATTCGTTAGGTTGAACTGCTCGAAACGCAGTCTCATGCCATAGCTTTTAGTTACCTACAAAAATTGAATTTTTAACTTGATTAGGTTCCAAAAAATACAATACAAATTTGTTTAAACACTTTGTAAACAGGACCTAATTTTACTATTTAACAGTTTATTTTATCAACTGCAAGTCATGTTTAACTATTTTTTCTTTGCAGCAAAAAATTAGAAAGCTTAAAACGAAATAATGCCTGTTAATATTGAAAATCTAAGTTGGTATACTTAAACCTAATGTTTTTAATGAAAGGGAAAAGATTTAAAATGAAATTACAAATAAATAATAAATATATGGCTCAAATGAACATACGTTCTGCATTGTAATATAATAGATTTTGAGTAACTTACTTCCACAGTCCATACGCACTCCACGTTTGATGAGTAATTGGCGACGTTGCTGCTGTCCTGAAGATTGTGAAAACCGGGAGTGGTTAACATACCGCTGCTGGCACTGATGTAACCGCCACAACTGGCTGGCACCTGAACATAGCTGGCCCTAAAGAATTTCCTCGACGGCGCCGAGCTGCTTACAAAGTGAACTTTCAGCTCATTTCCCGGAGAGGTGAATGTCTGAGTCTGCGACTCCTCGTGGCAACTCTGATACAGCATCACGGAGGAGTTGAATCCACTGGTTGCAGATACGGAGAGCTTTGAATCCGCCTCCAAGCACTCGCCCTGTGGCGCCTCGAAGTGGACTTCATGCAGCAAGAGGCGAATTTGATTGCCCTCCGATGCTGTGATGATCCACACGCAGTCCATGTCCACGCTGAAGGGAGCTTTTGGCGATTCAAACGTTCCGCCTGCTGCGTGGAAATGATCTCCACATCCTAGTCGCTTGTACTCGACCCGGAGGCCCTGCTCCTGTTGTGAGAAATCGCTCTTGAAGCGAAGAAGCAGCCGATTGCCGACAGTTGCGGTGGGCAGCAAGCCATTGAAGCTGCATAAATTAACCTTACTTAGAATCTCGTCGTCCAGCATGTCTGTCAGCGTCACAAAGTCATAGGTGCAGTCAGAATTGAAACCCTCGAGGTTAAGATGCGAGAAGACAAGCTGCAAATGATTCTTTCGTCCGCCAGCGCGAATGTCCCATTCGCAGTCCTGATTTGGCGGATAATTCTCCGGGAAGTTGGGCGTTTCAATGGCACCCGCCAGGTTTTCGAGTCGAACTCGACAATTCGTTTGGTAGTTCAAGAGGAAGTCGGTGCCGTCGGGTGACTCATGGCTCACGTCGTAACGGACAAGGACGCGATTTCCGGTGGACTGCAGCGGTTCGGCGCTTGTTCCGTTGCAACGAATTACCATTTTGTTGCTGGCAATAGTGGGGCCATCGTATATGCTCAGTTGGCCGAGGCAAAGACGCGCGTCGCTGCTCTCAAGCTGCAGGTTCACCCTGGATCCCTCGGCCACAACAATCTGCCAGTCGCAGGCCAAAACACCACGATTTCCCGCCAATGAATGCGGCGAATGAATGCTCCCCGTGGATGAGCTTAGTTTGCCGCCACATCCGGTTCCGGTTTGCTGCCACTTTAGAAGGAATCCCTTGGTCTCTATGCTTCTATCGGAATGGAATTCCAGATGCATTGCATTGCTATACGAGGGTAACCGACTAGGGATATTAGTACCACAATACCGACCAATAAGCGGCGACGAACCAGAATCTCCGTTTCTAAAAATAAAAAATGTTAAATTATATATTGGAAATTAGTTATGCAAGAGCTTAGGTCGATCGATCACCTGATTTCCAGCCAGTCGGTCGTGCATCGAAGGTCAGCGAATGATGATTCTAGTGTAAAGTTTTGCACCACCAATTCGAGACGGTGACCAAGCGGTGCTCGTAAGATCCATTCACATTTTTGGTTTTCTCCATATGCCTTTGGCCAATTTGGAGATTTTATGTAGCCATAGCGCCCTGTGAATGTTCCTCCACACTCATCTGATTTTAAATAATATAAATAATGTTAAATTCATAGTCTCTACATAATATTTAATATAGAAGACGTATTGTTTTAGACAGATTTTTAAGAAACTAGGTTTTAACCTTGATAGCAAACTAATTGTGAGACTTTCAAACACTTTAATTACCTTATTTGTTAATATTAATTTGGATATTCGAAATATTAATTTGGTTTTTAAGGCTTGTTTTAGTTATTTTTATGTTTTGTATTCTTTTAAGTCGAGGAATCTGAATGGATTTACTTACATTAACAAAGGATTTAGAATTCTCTTACCTTGCTCAACCATTTCAAATCCAAGCATTAAAATGCCATATCTGTTTTCGTTAAACATACTTATAGTCAAAAGATCTCCATCAAACACATCATCCACACTACTCGAATAACTGAAATGATTGAACATGTATAGCTATTGACTTTTCCATTTAGGTATTTACCTACGTGTTTAACAAAGTCGCTGGACTTGTGCTATTGTCATAAATGGAGTATGTTGGTCTTGCAATTATAGAGTGAGCAATAATTCGTTTTCTTCCTGGAACATCAATAAACCACTGACAAAATGTGGTGTGTGTATGTCTGACCCGTCTCCTGTCGGATTCGGTGAGGAATCCTCCACAATTATTAAGCACAAACTCGTATTCCACTCGCATTCCACGGCCACTACCGGATCCGTGGAAGACCAGACTAGCCCGATTTGTGTGTGATATCAGGGAAAGGTTATACGTTGACTTTTCAAAATGCCTCTTTTCATCACGAATACCCAAATATACCTAAATGATTTAACTGTAATAAATAATAAATAATTTTAAGTTTCAAAGCTGTTACTTACATCTAAATAAGTGGTTTCGTTTCCATTAGTGGCAGTGCCCAGCGATAGGTCTGTGATTTTGATTTCAGCCACTGTATCAAGCGGTCCAGTCAAGTTGTAGGTGCACGTCATGTCGTCGAGATACGAACCCGGGTAGTTTGGGGTACTAATGATGCCAGTAGTGCTGTCAAAGCTACCAGTGCACACTGTAAGATAAGGACAACTTATTAAATTGGGGCAACTGCAGTGGAAAACAAGATTTCATTCTAAACTTACCTCTGGTATAACTCAACACAAAGGCTGTTTTCAGCTTCAAGCCACTCAATGAGTATTCATAGCGCACTAGGATCACATTTTTCGTGGATATCAGTGGTTCCAATTCACTGGACTCTGGATGACCACAAACGCGTCGCATAAGTGGCGAATCAACCGTACTTCCGTCAAAGATCTCGATCTTCTGGATATTACAATTTTCTGTCTGCAACAGGTGTACCTGATCGAACACCAGCTGTACTTGTGTTCCCCGCGGCTGCTCTACCAGATAGAGACAGACCTCGGCGTCCAATTTTCCACTGATGCGACCTCGCGACGCCGTGTAGACGCCTCCGCATCCTGGCCGACCCGGCACCACCTCGTAGTGCATCTGAAAGGAGCTATCCGAACGCAATGCATCCGTGTGGAAGTCCATACGCAGGCTGCTCGATGAGCTATACAGCGGTGGGGGCTGCAGGGATTGGCAGGCCTGAAGCAGCTTGAGGTCCGAGTCGTAAACAGTGAGGGAATCCTGACTGCAGTTCTTGGCGTCTGCTTCGGTGGTACCCAGCTTAATCTCGTAGAAGCGAAGGAGCAAGCGGCTGCCAAAGGGCGCCGTCAGTTGCCAGCGACAGTCGAGACCCGGTCGGGCTTGACCTGGATAGCCCGGAGACCGCAGAACGCCGGTCTGCGTCAGTGTCAGGTTAATGGTTTCGCCGCAGGAGAACGGCAGAGAGTTCCAGGTGACGTGGAATCCTTTTCCCTGCGTCTCATTGTCGGATCGAAACCAGAAAAAGACCTGCTCCTGGCTGGTGATCACACTACCGTTCCCCATGGGCAAACGGGAGCCACAAAAGCGGCCAATTAGGCGCGAAGATAGCGAGTTGCCGTCGTGCAGCTGCAGAAAGTCGGCGGTGCAATCGGTGCTGTCCTGCAGATCGAACTGGGTGAAGGTTAGGTTAAGCACCTGGTTAACAGTGGTGCGCACGATGAATGGGCACCGCTCGTCCGCCTGGTAGTCACCGTCGGCCGTGTTGGGCGGGAAATGCAGCTGGCCCGTGGGCCCCTGGATTGTTGCTCCGCAAAAGAATCGCTGATGGGAGCAGGTGGTGCCGGTGTAGCCGCGTGGACAAACGCACTGGTACTTGTTATTCGGCAACAGGCGACAGGTTCCGCCATTTAGGCAGGGGCTCGGATGACAGGCATCCGACGAGTTGCACACGGCGCCCGTGTATCCAGGCTGGCATATGCAGGTGGTTCCCCTTCCGTTCTGCACGCAGGTTCCATTGTTCTGGCAGGGATGCTGTTCGCAGGGCTGCCGGCTGGAGTCCGTGGTGCAGCCATCGGCGCCGTAGCCATGGCCAAAGCTGCCCAGCGGACAGGTGCACACCACCGTGTCGGAGACGTACTCGCACTTGGCCAGCGGATGGCAAATCCTCTCATCGTTGCAGGAGTTGGAGTCGGCGGCCTTGCAAGTGCGTCCGTCGCCTGTCCAGCCCGGTGGACAGCGGCCACAGCGATGCGAGCCCTCCGTGTTGGTGCAGGACACCCGGGGCTGCAGGCTGCATCCGCCGTTGTCCTCGCCGGCACATTCGTCTATGTCCCGGCAGAAGCGTCCGTCACCCGTGTACCCCGGCGGACAGGGACCGCAGCGAAAGCTGCCCGGCAGATTGATGCACACGTCGTGGCAGGGATTCACACGCGGCTCACACTCGTCCACATCCCGGGTGCAGGCACTTGGACTGGCGGCGGTCACATTGGCATCCGCCCACGTCCATCCCTGATCGCAGATGCACACATAGCCGTTGGAATTGCCAGCTTGGATGCAGGTGCCGTGCTCGCCGCACAGTTCCCGGGATCCAATGCCGGAGCAGGAATTGCTCCGAAGGCGGCAGTGACTGCCGGAGAAACCATTTCGGCAAACGCATCTGGAAAGTTGAGACGGAGCAATTGGTTTGATCCTGCTACGGTACTGGATGCACTTTTCCACTTACCGATAGCCTCCGGGAGTGTTTATGCACTGGCCATTGTTTAGGCATCCGGCAAGATCCGTGCCAGCCAAGGTGACGCACTCGTTCACATCCTCCTCACATGTATCACCCTTAAACAAACATATGTAAAGAATATGGCTCAGTAAAAGATGGCGATCTAACGGGAATAAAACATACATTTTTCAATACTGGCAAAAAGCTGCTTATCATTTGCATGGACGCGACAAGAAAGTTTTTGAGGGTACGACACTCAGTCAGCAAGTACTTTATATTATACTATATTATACTATAAATTCATATAATTCCTTTCATTATATTATAAATTATAATTAAAATGCTCTAAGACACTAATCTGCTTAAGTATTGCATTTAAATTATTTTTTTTTAAACAAACTGTTCTTCGCTACGCTTTGTTTTGTTTTTTGTTTTGCAACACTGGATTTTTTTGTGGCGTCGTACATCAATTATTTTTTCCTGGCAGTGAAAAGTTAAATATTGTGTTAAAAACAGTTATTTGTTATTTGTTTCATGATGAAATAAAATTCTTTGCCAATCTGTACATTTTGATATTAATTATCGTCACATCTTGTGAAAGCATTTGTCCATTTAAAAATACGCCCCTTATCTCAGCAAGAAACGCCCCCGCTTACTCACTTGCCAACCCGAAGTGCACTCGCACTGGAATGCCTTGTAGGCGTCGTGGCAGGTTCCGCCGTTCTGGCACGGCATGGACTTGCACTCATTCTTTTCCAGATTCGAGAGTAGGGTTCTCAGGATTCCCGAGACGCGTTCCACGCGCTGCAACTGTCGACGCAGGATGCGTTGATTGAGCCCACTCCTTCGCGTGGAGTTATTCGCATTGAAGACCCTTCGCTGGATCCGCTTCATTTTGCGATCCACATCCCGGAACTGATCCTTGACGACGTCCATCGATAGTGGTTCCCTTCGAGCCGCCGCCTGGCGATCGGCAATGATCCGTTGCCGTCGCCGGAGCAACGTCATCATATCCACATCGTTGATGGTCACGGTGGCCGACTCGCCCATCAACCGGAAGGTCACATTCTGATCCTTTGCTGCCTCGATGAGCAAATTATCGTTCGATTGTCTCACAAGCTGGGCCCGCTGCTCCACATTATACTGAGATCCTTTCACGGACACTATTTGCAAGCACAGCACCAGCACAAATGGAAGTTCAAGTAGCTTTAAAAGCATTTTTTTGCATTTTTTCAACACAATTCACAAAATTGGGTAAAGTTGATTTAGTTAAATACTATTTTGTAATAGAGAATAATCCAATTTGATTGTTTTTAGAATGTTTAAGAACGATTTGAACCACACGACAGGCGATGTCCACGAAAACTAGTACCAAACTGACTTGGAGCTCCGATTTTATACTGCCAAAAAGTGGGCGTCTACGATACAGGCAGTGTGGAACATAATTTCTATTGGTGAATTGCACTTGGTATGTGAATTAAGATATTCAGGCAGTTTTTGGTTGTCCCTTTTTTTTTTGGTCTTGCTTCCCAGAATTAATAGTTTACTTTCTATCATTCTAATGCCATTGGACCGAGGTTTATATATATTTTTTTTGTTTGGACTCATGATAAATATAAGTAATACTTATAATATAACAGATTAGGTACTTGGCGTAACCAATTTCTATTTAATATAGCATATTAGTCGAAATAAGCTTCGTCAATATTGAACAATCAGATTCTAAAGGCTCAATATTGACTATTCAATTATACCAATAACTGAACCTTTGCAGTCTGATATATTTTCTGTAATTTATTTGTCGCATTTTATGACTTTATAGTCAGTAAATTATATAAATCATCCGTCTATCAACGCATTTCTGACTTTTCCATCTAATTATATTGACCTGAACCTCAAACCGATCGAACACAACTGATAAGGGCTGTTTTTCATACTTAATCTTCTAGCTATAGGCAATTTAACAACCAATTTTGTTTTCAAAGCACAATATTAATTTTTATTAGCTAATTTGGACTGCCAAAATTGAGAGGTTCTATGGTGTAATGGTTAGCACTCTGGACTTTGAATCCAGCGATCCGAGTTCAAATCTCGGTAGAACCTGGATTCCTGAATATTTTTTATTTTATTTGTTTTGGGATAAAATTACGCTATTTAATTTTAAATAATACCTCTTTTAATCTTGTCAACATTTACCATTCATTTTTGATGCCCATTTGCAAGTTTAAAGTTTTCCTGATGCTTTTAAAAAACATATCCAGTATGAAAGATACTTATTTTTGATAAAACTAAAAAATTTGGGTATAGATAAAATAACAATAATAAAAACAAATACATAGGAAACTTTAAAAATTTTACAAGAGATAATTGCATTTTACGTTATCAGGTTGGCACACTATTAGGGCTTGATAATCTTTGAAATTGAATTCAATTCAAATCAATGCACAGCCTAATAGACAATGACCTTGTGAGCAATTTGCACAATGTGTAGCATACGCACAAAATATTTATTGGACACCAGCAGATAAGCAGATACATTTGTATCTAAGTATCTCTGCATGTGTGTCCTATGTAAATACGCCTCCATGACAACTAAAGTGAACGCAAATTAAATCAATTAAGTGAAAACGAACGCAAGCCGGTATGTATTTGTATGTGAGGTTGAACTCGCATACATATATGTGGGCATATGTACTATTTATAAGTGTAAAAACAAAAATCAGCTGCTAATTTCTCTTGTTGTTGTCGAGCGAGCCCCCAACTAGGGAGACTTGTTTCCATGTTTCTATGTCGACTGGTGGTTGTCGTTTAGTCAAGAGCGAGTCGCCGACGAGATCTGGACAGTAGCCAGCCGGAAAATACATATTCGCGAATTGAAAAATACAGAAAGACCAGCGACAATATGCCAATTTTCTCAAAATTGTTGCTCTTCCGTGGGGGTAAGCCAAAAATACAGAACTCGTGTCCCTAAATAAAATAATGTGATTTGCTTTCAAAAGAAAATGCTTTTTGTTTTGAAATATATTTAAGTCATATAATTATTATGTGAAAACTAAAAAACTAAAAAAAAATATATATTTGTGTTCACCATGCAACTCTTTTGATTTGTTTATATAAAATTTCGTTTTTAGTTTTCAAAATATATCTATAATTATGTGAAAACTTAAAAAAAATATATCAAAAATGTTGATGCCATACAACTTATTTAATTTGTAAATAGAAATTACTTTTTGTATATTATTAAGTGATTGGAAAGATTCATTTTTTAAAAATATAACCTACATTAATAATACAAACATGTGAACTTGTTTTTGGAAAAACAAAAAGAAATTATTTACATAAAAAAGCTTTTACAAAGTTTTCCATAGGATATAAAAATATTTTTAAAAGAAATATTTCTATGAAGAAATTTTTTTTTTAAAAGTTATATAACAAACTAATTTAAATACATGTTTTCCATTTAACTAGAGTTTAAACCTTTTCATTGATTTTTTAATATAAATATACTTTATTTTGCCTTGTGCGTGTTTACTAATATTTGATTTTGTATTATAAAAAATTTCATCGCCAGTCGGAGGACGCCATTACAGTGCTGCGGCTCAGTCGCAGCTGCGAGAGATCTTGGGCACCCAGCTGGCAGGGATCAAGGAGGCCGGCACCTTCAAGGCCGAACGAATCATCACGTCTTCGCAGAGCACCCAGATCACAGTTCAAGGCAGTGACAAGAGTATACTCAACTTTTGCGCCAACAACTACCTTGGGCTGGCGGTAAGTGAATTGAATATGAGTCTATTAGCTTCAATTAAGAATTTCTCTGGACCACCAGAACCATCCGGAGATTGTGGAGCACAGCCAGAAGCTGCTGGAGCAGTATGGAGCCGGACTGAGCTCAGTGCGTTTCATTTGTGGCACCCAGGATATACACAAGCAGCTGGAGAAGAAGATAGCCCAGTTCCATGGACGCGAGGATACCATTCTGTATGCCTCCTGCTTTGACGCCAATGCCGGAATCTTTGAGGCCATTCTCACTCCGGAGGACGCAGTGTTCTCCGACGAACTGAACCACGCTTCGATCATCGATGGCATTCGACTGTGCAAGGCCAAGAAGCAGCGCTACAGGCACCGGGATTTGAAGGACTTGGAGGAGCAATTGAAGGCCAGTGATGCTCGGCTCAAACTTATCGCCACCGATGGTGTGTTTTCCATGGACGGAAACATTGCACCTCTGGCCCGCATCGTTGAGCTGGCCAAGAAGTACAATGCACTCGTCTTTGTGGATGAATGCCATGCCACTGGCTTCTTCGGTGCCACGGGACGCGGAACCGAGGAGTACGACAATGTGATGGGTGAGGTGGATATCATCAACTCGACGCTGGGCAAGGCCTTGGGTGGAGCCTCCGGCGGTTACACCACAGGGCCCGCCGAGCTCATCTCTTTCCTGCGCCAGAAGTCCAGGCCGTACCTGTTCTCCAACACCCTGCCGCCGGCGGTTGTGGCAGTTGGCCTGAAGGTCATGGACATGCTCCTCCAGTCTAGTGAGCTCACCCAGCGGGTTCAGAGCAACACACAGCGCTTCCGGCAGGCCATGACCAAGGCTGGCTTCACCATTGCCGGCGAGAACCATCCCATCTGCCCCGTGATGTTGGGCGATGCTCGTCTCGCCTCCAAGTTTGCCGATGAGATGCTGAGTAAGTTTAAAGATTGTTTATCGCTAGACCAACACCCTACTTGAATCTAATTTATCCTTTAGCCCGGGGCATCTATGTCATCGGCTTTAGCTACCCAGTGGTTCCTCAGGGAAAGGCCCGCATCCGCGTTCAAATCTCCGCTGCCCACACTGAAGCGGAAATCGATCGGGCTATTGCTGCATTTGTTGAAGTTGGTCGCTCTCTGAAAGTAATCCAGTAAAAAACAGTATTGAATATTGCATTTACGTTAATTGAAACTGCATTTATTTAAAGGTACTGAGATATTGTCTTTAAAATTGTCAATTTATAAAACAACTCCAGTTTTGCATTTATATTAAACAGCTGCATTTATCAAAACAGTTTCAAGAATAAATCCTTTTAATTCTGTTTAATGTTTTATCTAAATTTCTTTAAGAAACATGAAAAATTCTAACCCGATAATAAAGAGCAGTAAAAGTCAACTAGCCAAAGAAACTAGATCTTCAAAAGATCTTTAATGTTTACTTACATATAAGAATTATTCAATTTCTTACTTACTTTAATTCAAATTAGAAAACCACCATCAATTGACCACATTTCGTGTTTATGGAGTAGCTTTATTTGGTTCATAAGATTAACTAAAGATCATTTACTAAGTAAATAATAGACTGTTGCAGTTGGGTTTAACTTAAGCTTAGATTGCACGATAAAAAAAAGTCTGGCTCAAGCCGGTAAATGCACGCGCCAACTTAACCGAGCACAAACATACATACATATATGCACTAAAAAATCAATAACAAATAATTCGAGTCGAGTAACAAAAATAAACGTATAAAACAATAAGGGAAAGTATGGGGTGTGGGCTGGCCGAATCTCCTCATGTGGCATAAACTAAAATGGAATCAATGGTTCAGTTCTGAAGACGTCTGAATAGTTAAAATGCCAGGTGCTTTGAGTTGGCCCAAAAGCAAAAGGAAACTTTTACAAAGCGCTAAGTGTGAGTAGATTGGGCTAGGAGTACCGAGGTGTACATATTGCGATGACTATGAATACTTTGGTTAGTGTTGTGTTTGCATGATGCAATGGTTAGCTGCAATTCAATTCGATTCGAGTCGTTTGTGATTATTTGTTGACCAGACCGCGAGCTTTGGGATACGCCGAAGCGGGCTTCTTGGCCGGCAGACGGCCCGTGGGCGGACGGCGGTTGGAGTCGAGGTTGGAGGCGGCGCTCGGCAGTCCCCGGCTCGACTTAATGTTCCGGACATTGGGTATGGAGCTGCCCACGTTGGCTGCAGCCCCAGGACCAGAGCCCCCATTGGCATTCGCATTGATGATGTTCTCTAGCCGGCTGCGCAGTGAATTTGTGTGTGAGTCCACTATGTCAATGTCATCGCTGCCCGTTTGCATGGCCTGGGCGAGCACCGCCTGCAACGAGGCCGACACCTTGGGCGTACGATACTCCTGGGTGGTGCGGCAAGGCATCTCCAGTTCGTAGTTCACGATGTTCTCGCTCTTGAAGCGCAGGGAGCTGGGCGCATTGGACTTAGCCTCCTGCAGGGCATACTCGGAGGTGGGTCTGCGGCGCTGCGGATGCGAGACAGGACGCCTGCTGCTGAACTTGCCATCGCCGCCAGGAGGCGTGGGCAACGACATCGAGGAGAACTTCCATTCCTCCTGCTCCTCGTCGTA